TACACATTACTGGCCAAGTGGACCTGTGAGGGAGTCTCCTGGGGACTTCTGGGCAATGCATGGGAGGTCATGGCATTGTCCCTTTTGTCTGCTCATGGGCAGGTCTCTATGTGATGCCTGAAATTGCAGAGGCAATTCCAGCCATGGGACTATCTGCCCTTGGATGTTTTGTTATTTGGGATAATAAATTGTCTTGTTGTTTAAGGCTTTTTCAACACTTAAAGTCCAAAACATCCTAACTGATGTACCTAGTAATGACACAGAGGGCCTTGCTAGAATTACAGCTGTAACTTGTTAGAGTTACTGCATTTAAGCCATGTGTGAAGTTAAATGTATGTGACAGTATTGTTAGGATAGTTCTTTGCTTTAAATTATTAAGAAAATTTTAATAGTAATACGCTCACATGGTAAAAACATCAAAAAGTATGAAAAGGCTTACCATAAAAAAACCTCCCTCCCACATGGGTCATTTATGTTCTCAATTCTTAGGTCCCACTGGCCAGATAACCACTGTTTTATTTACCCTTCCAGAGATTCTGAAAATAAACATAAATAAAACAAATATGTCATTTTCCTCCTTTGTAATATAGATGTTAGTATGCTATACACATCATTCGGTACCTTGCTTTTTTCAATTAATATGTCTGAGTTTTCCATATCAATACATAAATTTTTCTTATTTTTTTTTATAGCTACAGAACGCTTCATTGAATTTATTTTAAAAGTTCCCCACTGAAGAGTATCCAGGTTCTCTCCAATCTTTCCCTGTAGACTGTAGTGCCGCAATTAGTAAGATGTATGTATGCCACTCTGTAGATACGCAAATAGATCTCTAGGGTAAACTCCCCAGAGTGGGGCAACTGGATCCAAGAGCACATTCATTTGGAATTTTGATAGCTATTGCTAAATTGCCATCCATCTGGGCTGTGCAAATTTACACTCCCACCAGCAGCTTATGACAGTACCACTTTCCCACAGCCCTGGCAACAGAACATGCTATCAGATTTTGGATTTGGGCTAAATTTATGGTGAAAAATGATATCTTAGGGAAGTTTTAATTTGCACATTTCTTACTATGAGTAAAATTGAGCATTTAAAAATATTTTTTGGAATAATTTACATGTTCTTTGAATTGTCTGTTTATAATAATTGTCCATTTTTCTAATAGGTTATTGACCTTTTTTCTTATCAATCTCAAGCTTTTTATATACTGGGAAGATTATTCTATGACTGTGATGAGTTTAAATTGTGTTTCCCAATTTGTCTTTTTGTTATGTTGAATTTAATTTAATTACGTTTTTTATACAGCAGGTTCTTATTAGTCATCCATTTTATACACATCAGTGTATACATGTCAATCCCAGTCTCCCAATTCATCACACCACCATCCCCACCCCCTCCGCCACTTTCCCCCCTTGGTGTCCATATGCTTGTTGTCTACATCTGTGTCTCAATTTCTGCCCTGCAAACCGGTTCATCTGTACCATTTTTCTAGGTTCCACATATATGCATTAATATACGATATTTGTTTTTCTCTTTCTGACTTACTTCACTCTGTATGACACTCTCTAGATCCATCCACGTGTAAACAAATGACCCAATTTTGTTCCTTTTTATGGCTGAGTAATATTCCATTCTGTATATGTACCACAACTTCTTTATCCATTTGTCTGTCAATGGGCATTTAGGTTGCTTCCATGACCTGGCTATTGTAAATAGTGCTGCAGTGAATATTTGGGTGCATGTATCCTTTTGCATTATGGTTTTCTCTGGGTATATGACCAGTAGTGGGATTGCTGGGTCATATGGTAATTCTATTTTTAGTTTTACAAGGAACCTCCATACTGTTCTCCATAGCAGCTGTATCAATTTACATTCCCACCAACAGGGCAAGAGGGTTCCCTTTTCTCCACACCCTCTCTAGCATTTGCTGTTTTTAGATTTTCTGATGATGCCCATTCTAACCAGTGTGAGGTGATACCTCATTGTAGTTTTGATTTGCATTTCTCTAATAATTAGTGATGTTGAGCAGCTTTTCATGTGCATGTCTTCTTTTCAGAAAAGTGTATTTAGGTCTTCTGCCCATTTTTGGATTGGGTTGTTTGTTTTTTTAATACTGAGCTGCATGAGCTGTTTATATATTTTGGAGATTAATCCTTTATCCGTTGATTCGTTTGCAAATATTTTTTCCCATTCTGACGGTTGTCTTTTCATCTTGTTTGTAGTTTCCTTTGCTGTGCAAAAGCTTTTAAGTTTCATTACCTCCCATTTGTTTATTTTTGTTTTTATTTCCATTACTCTAGGAGGTGGCTCAAAAAGTATCTTGCTGTGATTTATGTCATAGAGTGTTCTTCCTAGGTTTTCCTCTAAGAGTTTTATAGTGTCCGGTCTTACATTTAGGTCTCTAATCCATTTTGAGTTTATTTTTGTGTATGGTGTTAGGGAGTGTTCTGATTTCATTCTTTTACATGTAGCTGTTCAGTTTTCCCAGCACCACTTATTGAAGAGACTGTCTTTTCTCCATTGTATATCCTTGCCTCCTTTGTCATAGATTAGTTGACCACAGGTGCGTGGGTTTCTCTCTGGGCTTTCTATCCTGTTCCATTGATCTATGTTTCTGTTTTTGTGCCAGTACCATATTGTCTTGATTACTGCAGCTTTGTGGTATAGTCTGAAGTCAGGGAGTCTAATTCTTCCAGTTCTGTTTTTTTCCCTCAAGACTGCTTTGGCTATTTGGGGTCTTTTGTGTCTCCATACAAATTTTAAGATTTCTTGTTTTAGTTCTGTAAAAAATGCCATTGGCAATTTGATAAGGATTGCATTGAATCTGTAGATTGCTTTTGGTATATAGTCATTTTCACAATATTGATTCTTCCAATACAAGAACATGGAATGTCTCTACATCTGTTGGTATCATTTTTAATTTCTTTCATCAGTGTCTTATAGTTTTCTGCATACAGGTCTTTATTCTCCCTAGGTAGGTTTGTTCCTAGGTATTTTATTCTTTTTGTTGCAGTGGTAAATGGGAGTGTTTCCTTAATTTCTCTTTCAGGTATTTCATCATTAGGGTATAGGAATGCAAGAGATTTCTGTGCATGAATTTTGTATCCTGCAACTTTACCAAATTCATTGATTAGCTCTAGTAGTTTTCTGGTGGCATCTTTAGGATTCTCTATGTATAGTATCATGTCATCTGCAAACAGTGACAGTTTTACTTCTTTTCCAATTTGTATTTCTTTTCTTTCTTTTTCTTCTCTGATTGCTGTGGCTAGGACTTCCAAAACTATGTTGAATAATAGTGTTGAGAGTGGACATCCTTGTCTTGTTCCTGATCTTAGAGGAAATGCTTTCAGTTTTTCACCATTGAGAATGATGTTTGCTGTGGGTTTCTCGTATATGGCTTTTATTCTGTTGAGGTAGGTTCCCTGTATGCCCACGTTCTGGATAGTTTTTTATCATAAATGGGTGTTGAATTTTGTCAAAAGCTTTTTCTGCATCTATTGAGATGATCAAATGGTTTTTCGTCTTCAATTTGTTAATATGGTGTATCACATTGATTGATTTGTGTATATTGAAGAATCCTTGCATCCCTGGGATAAATCCCACTTGATCATGGTGTATGATCCTTTTAATGTGTTGTTGAATTCTGTTTGCTATTATTTTGTTGAGGATTTTTGCATCTATATTCATCAGTGATATTGGTCTGTAATTTGCTTTTTTTGTAGTAGCTTTGTCTGGTTTTGGTGTCAGGGTGATGGTGGCCTCATAGAATGAGTTTGGGAGTGTTCCTTCCTCTGCAATTTTTTGGAAGAGTTTGAGAAGAATGGGTGTTACCTCTTCTCCAAATGTTTGATAGAATTCACCTGTGAAGCCATCTGGTCCTGGACTTTTGTTTGTTGGAAGATTTTTAATCACACTTTCAATTTCATTACTTGTGACTGGTCTGTTCATATTTTCTGTTTCTTCCTGGTGCAGTCTTGGAAGGTTATACCTTTCTAAGACTTTGTCCATTTCTTCCAGGTTGTTCATTTTATTGGCATAGAGTTGCTTGTCGTAGTCTCTTAGGATGCTTTGTATTTCTGCGGTGTCTGTTGTAACTTTCCTTTTTCATTTCTAGTTTTATTGATTTGAGTCCTTTCCCTCTTTTTCTTGATGAGTCTGGTTAATGGTTTAACAATTTTGTTTATCTTCGCAAAGAACCAGGTTTTACTTTTATTGATCTTTGCTATTGTTTTCTTTGTTTCTATTACATTTATTTCTGCTCTGATCTTTTTGATGTCTTTCCTTTTGCTAAATTTGGGTTTTGTTTGTTCTTCTTTGTCTACTTCCTTTAGGTGTAAAGTTAGATTGTTTATTTGAGATTTTTCTTGTTTTATTTATTTATTATTTTTTTTTGTGGTATGCGGGCCTCTCACTTTGTGGCCTCTTCTGTTGCAGAGCACAGGCTCCGGACGCGCAGGCTCAGCGGCCATGGCTCATGGGCCCAGCTGCTCCGCGGCATGTGGGATCTTCTCAGACCAGGGCACAAACCTGTGTCCCCTGCATCGGCAGGCAGACTCTCAACCACTGCGCCACCAGGGAAGCCCTTTCTTGTTTCTTGACATAGGCTTGTATAGCTATAAACTTCTCTCTTAGAACTGCTTTTGCTGCATGCCATAGGTTTTGGATCGTCGTGTTTTCATTGTCATTTGTCTGTAGGTATTTTTTGATTTCCTCTCTGATTTCTTCAGTGATCTCTTCGTTGTTTAGTAACTTATTGTTTAGCCTCCATGTGTTTGTGTTTTTTACGTTTTTTTTCCCTGTAATTCATTTCTAATCTCATAGCATTGTGCTCAGAAAAGATGCTTGCTCTGATTTCAGTTTTCTTAAATTTACTAAGGCTTGTTTTGTGACCCAAGATGTGATCTATCCTAGAGAATGTTCCGTGCGCACTTGGGAAGAAAGTGTAATCTGCTGTTTTTGGATGGAATGTCCTATAACTATCATTTAATTCTATCTGGTCTGTTGTGTCATTTAAAGCTTCTGTTTTCCTTATTTATTTTCATTTTCGATGATCTGTCCATTGGTGTAAGTGAAGTGTTAAAGTTCCCCATTATTACTGTGCTACTGTCGCTTTCCTGTTTTATAGCTGTTAGCAGTTGCCTTATGTATTGAGGTGCTCCTATGTTGGGTGCATATATATTTATAATTGTTATATCTTCTTCCTAGATTGATCCCTTGATCATAATGTAGTGTCCTTCCTTGTCTCTTGTAACATTTTTTATTTTAATGTTTAATTTATCTGATATGAGTATTGCTACTCCAACTTTCTTTTGATTTTCATTTGCATGGAATATCTTTTTCCATGCCCTCACTTTCAGTCTGAAAGTGTCCCTAGGTCTGAAGTGGGTCTCCTGTAGACAACATATATATGGGTCTTGTTTCTGTATCCATTCAGCCAGCCTGTGTCTTGGTTGGAGCATTTAACCCATTCACGTTAAAGGTAATTATTGATATGTATGTTCCTATGACCATTTTCTTAATTGTTTAGAGTTTGTTTTTGTAGGTCCTTTTCTTCTCTTGTGTTTCCCACTTAGAGACGTTCCTTTAGCATTTGTTGTAGAGCTGGTTTGGTGGTGCTGAATTCTCTTAGCTTTTGCTTGTTTGTAAAGCTTTTGATTTCTCCAAAGAATCTGGATGAGATACGTGCCAGGTAGAGTAATCTTGGTTGTAGGTTCTTCCCTTTCATCACTTTAACTATATGATGCCCCTTCCATCTGGCTTGTAGAGTTTCTGCTGTGAAATCAGCTGTTGACCTTACGGGAGTTCTCTTGTATGTATTTGTCATTTTTTCCTTGCTGCTTTCAGTAATTTTTCTTTGTCTTTAATTTTTTGCCAATTTGATTACTATGTGTCTTGGCATGTTTCTCCTTGGGTTTATCCTGTTTGGGACTGTCTGTGCTTCCTGGACTTGATTAACTCTTTCCTTTCCCATATTAAGGAAGTTTTCAACTATAATCTCTTCAAATATTTTCTCAGTCCCTTTCTTTTTCTCTTCTTCTTCTGGAACCCCTATAATTCGAATGTTGGTGCGTTTAATGTTGTCCCAGAGGTCTCTGAGAGTGTCCTCAGTTCTTTTCATTCTTTTTTCTTTATTTTGCTCTGCAGTAGTTATTTCCACTATTTTATCTTCCAGATCACTTATACGTTCTTCTGCCTCAGTTATTCTGCTATTGATTCCTTCCAGTGTAGTTTTCATTTCAGTTATTGTATTGTTCATCTCTGTTTGTTTTTTCCTTAATTCTTCTAGGTCTTTGTTAAACATTTCTTGCATCTTCTTGATCTTTGCCTCCATTCTTTTTCTGAGGTCCTGGATCATCTTCACTATCATTATTCTGAATTCTTTTTCTGGAAGGTTGCCTATCTCTACTTCATTTAGTTGTTTTCTGGGGTTTTATCTTGTTCCTTCATCTGGTACATAGCCCTCTGCCTTTTCATCTTGTCTGTCTTTCTGTGAATGTGGTTTTTGTTCCACGGGCTGCAGGATTGTAGTCCTTCTTGCTTCTGCTGTCTGCCCTCTGGTGGATGAGGCTATCTTAGAGGCTTGTGCAAGTTTCCTGATGGGAGGGACTGGTGGTGGGTAGAGCTGGCTGTTGCTCTGGTGGGCAGAGCTCAGTAAAACTTTAATTCACTTGTCTGCTGATGGGTGGGGCTGGGTTCCCTCCTTTTTCATTGTTTGACCTGAGGCGATCCAACACTGGAGCCTACTTGGCTCTTTGGTGGGGCTAATGGCTACTTTGGGAGGGCTCACGCCAAGGAGTACTTCCCAGATATTTTGCTGCCAGTGTCCTTGTCCTCATGGTGAGACACAGCCACCCCCCACCTCTGCAGGAGACCCTCCAACACTAGCAGGTAGGTCTCGTTCAGTCTCCTATGGGGTCACTGTTCCTTCCCGTGGGTCCTGATGTGCTCACTACTTTGTGTGTGCCCTCCAGGAGTGGAGTCTCTGTTTCTCCCAGTCCTGTTAGAGTCCTGCGATCAAATCCTGCTAGCCTTCAAAGTCTGATTCTCTAGGAATTCCTCCTCCCGTTGCCAGACCCCCAGATTGGGAAGCCTGACGTGGGGCTCAGAACTTTTACTCTAGTGGGTGGACTTCTGTGGTATAAGTGTTCTCTAGTTTGTGGGTCACCCACCTAGCAGTTACGGGATTTGATTTTATTGTGAATGTCCCCCTCCTCCTGTCTCATTTTGGCTTCTCCTTTGTCTTTGGATGTGGGGTATCTTTTTTGGTGAGTTCCAGTGTCTTCCTGTTGATGAGTGTTCAGCAGTTAGTTGTGATTCTGGTGTTCTTGTAAGGGGGAGTGAGAGCACGTCCTTCTGCTCCTCCATCTTCGTTCCTAAATCCGCGTATATAATTTTTATAGTATAAGCCTGCACTGTCTACTATGGCAGCCACTCACCAGATGTGGCTATTGAATACTTGATATGGGGCTAGTGCAAGTTAAGAACTGATTTTTAAGTTTTATATACTCTCACTAATTTAAATTTAAAAACTGATATGCAGTTTAATTATTGGAAAACTTTTAAGTATGTTTGGAACCACTTGGGTATGTGAATCTACTTTTTAAAGTGTAAGTTTATAAAATCTAAATATAGATCAAGTATATCCAATGAAAATTTAGGCCAGGCATTCTCTGCCCCAACTGTGGACCACTCTGAAAGGGCATTTCAGCTTCTGAGCTTCCCAACGGGATTGCTGAAACCTTCGCTCATGCTGAATCACAGTGTATGTGCTCCTTGGACCCATTCTTGCATTTGTCTTCCCTTCCAAAAGTGTTTATTCCAAGAGTTTTCCTAAGTAAACCTTCTGCCCACCAGTACCCATCTCACAATCTGCTTCCTGCAACCACCACCTGCTAGGATATATTTATTTTTAAATAATATAATAAACACCTGGGGCCTCTGGGACCTCAAGCGTCTGTGGTCTTAAATCTCTGCCTTTTCTGTTCAGCCAGTCAGCAACCTCATGAGTGTTCACTATGTGAATGACCCTTAACTGAGGACTGTGAATAGGTCCGAAGGAAAGGATGGTAAGGTTGTCTTGGACCAGAGGAACTGCAAGGTCTTTCCCTGAGCCGCAACACACGTATTTGTATCTGTAAAGGGGAATCTTGCCCGTAATGCTCAGGGATGGGACTTGCAACTGAAAAGTGGTCGAAGTCATTCTCTGGGTATCTGCGGCTGTGGTAGGAGGGAGTGAAAGATGTTAAGCAAGTGTTGAGAACTGAACATCAATCAAACGGCTCAATGCTCTGGCATCAAACAGAAGTAGGCTGGAACAGCAGCTTCGCTTGGGCTCTCCCTGAAGGACACTGAGGAAGAGATATCCTCCTAGTCGGCAGAGTTTTGAACAGTGCATCTTACTGCCCATTTGCATGGGAAGAGAGTGACTTGAGGAAAGAATGTACACTGACTCATGGGCTGCACAGAGTGGTTTGGATCTGAAAGGAGCAACACTGGAGGACAGGAGAGTGGGAGGGTTGGAGGAGAGTCATGTGTATTGGGTTTTTCCAAACGAACCGGGTGTGTTCCATGAGGCTGCTCACCAAAGACTCGTTGCAGCAAGGGATGGGGTGGTTCTTAATAATTAGATGAACAGAAGCACTTTCATTTACAAAGGCTGATCTACTGATGGACAGTTCTCAGTGTGCACTCTGGCTGTACAACTCTGGCACTCCAAAATGGTGCTCAGAGAGGGTCAGCCGGGCACCATGGGGAAGGTAGATTGCTTTAGATTCTTTCTATCATATGGAAGGTAGTGATTTGTCCTCATTGTGATAGATTCTCTAGATTTATTTTTATTACCTACAATATGTCTATTACCATTACTAGTTGAAGAGAATTAAAGTCCACGTGACCCTGTGACCAGTGCAGAAATGAAGACTGTAATTTTCATTATATATATGTATTTGTTTTTCTTCTTTCTCTCTCTTTATCTCACTGTTCTGTATAGGGTATTTAGCCCAAAAGTTGTACAAATCAATAGGGGATTATGGTAGAGCTAGAGGGAAAATATGCATCACCTAGGAAGTCTTGCATTGTTGCTGGATGCACCAACTCATGGGACTTTGGCTTTATTAAGGGTATGAGTGTGAAGATATTTGCATATGGTAGTTATGAACATTTTAGTGTTTGTTTTAGAATTTTTAAAAAATTAATTAATTTTTAGGCTGCGTTGGGTCTTCGCTGCTGCACGCGGGCTTTCTCTAGTTGCGGTTGGTAGCGGGGGCTACTCTTCGTTGTGGAACACCGGCTTCTCACTGCAGTGGCTTCTCTTGTTGCGGAGCATGGGCTCTAGGCGCGCAAGCTTAGTAGCTGTGGCATGTGGGCTCAGTAGTCGTGGCTTGCGGGCTCTAGAGTGCAGGCTCAGTAGTTGTGGTGCACGGGCTTAGTTGCTCCGCGGCATGTGGGATCTTCCCGGACCAGGGCTCAAACCCATGCCCCCTGCATTGGCAGGCAGATTCTTAACCACTGCACCACCAGGGAAGCCCCTGCTTTAGAATTTTAACTATGGAGAGAGGTATATATAAAGATGGTGAAGAGTCAGAGGGGCAAACTATAGCAGATGTTTATTATTTTGATGTTGACTTCATGGTGTCTGAACCTCTTGTGAAGCTTGAAGAATCTACCTTTGGGTGAGTCTTGGTGGGAGGCAGGGTTCCAGCTTCCATGCAGAAGCCCAGATAGTTTTTCTCTCTGACTTCTAAAAACTGGGAAATTGGCATGTGCCTAAGCTTAGCCAATCAGATGCTCCCATCTGGGACTTTGAATCTGGAGCGAATGGTGCAAAATTTATTTTGCTGGTGGGGGAAGTGCTCAGAGTTCAGTGGTACTGGTAGTGGTGGTGATCTTGGAAGTGGTTCACTTCCTTGGAAGGGCCCAGCAATAGTGGCAGCTCTGTTGGAATCAGGCTGTTTCTGTAGTATGACCTTGACTGTGTTCTTGTTTTTTTGCCTCCCTTTGTTTCTGCCTATTTTCTGAGCCTCTTTCTATAGTTATTCCACTAATAGGTAGTTACTCAACAACCCTCCAGTGCATTTCTATTCTAAGTTACCATGTTAATCATTTTTGTTGTTGTGGCAACCAAGAACCTCTTTTCTTTTCTCTGGATGCATTTAGAATTTTCCTGTTGCCCTTTTTGTTCCAAAATGTCACAATGATGTGATTTAACAGAGGACTTTTAAAAATGGACTGTTCTGAACATTGTGAGATCTTTCAATCTAATACTTGTATCCTTCTTCAGCTTTGGGAAATTCTCTTGTTATTTTACTAATAATCTCCATCCTTTAATTTCCTCTCTTCTCTCTTTCTGGGAATCCTATTAGTTGAATTGCTCCTATGTACGTCTTCTCTTTCTTCCCCTCTCTTTTTTTTGCCTCTTTGTCTTAATATTCTACATTCTGAGATATTTTCAAGAATTTAATCTTTCAACTCATTAACTTCAACAAAATTTTAGCAGTCATATTCTTCTTTTCTAAGACTTTTTTTTCCTCTGATGGTCTCTTTTCTACATTTATATTTTATGGATGCAACATCTTTTCATCTATCTCTGGAAATATTAATTAGAGGTTTTTTCCCACTTTGATTTTCTTCTATTCTTTATTTTTCCTCCAAGGTCATTTTATTTTTTATTAATCTTAGTCTTTCTATTTCACATTTTAGGCTTTCTCAACAGTCTTGTGATCTTGGTTGTTTAAGAATGAGACCATAGCAGGGCTGCCCAGGAGCTCTGTGTTGGTGGGCGAGCTTGTTGACTGTGGTGGGCTGGGCTTCAGTGAGTGGGAAGGCAGCCACTCGTTCCTCTGAAGGGTCTGTGGCACGCCACACTCCCACACTGGCTGCCCTCATTCTTCCCAGGAAGTCCATTCACATTTCTTGTAGAGGCACAATTTCCGCTTTAATTTTAGGCTTTTTTTTCTCCCAGGCTTGGATGTAAATACCTGGATGCCAGATGTTTTGCAAGCAGGGATGTTAGAGGGAAATGTCAGGGGTGTTAGTCTATATACAGACTTTCAATTAGTGATCCTGTTTCTACCGTCATTTTTCACTGCTGCCCTCCATTGTCTTTATCTTCTCAGCAGCCTCTTCTGCTCAGCTCCTATTTCACACTCCTTCACCTGCTTTCATGTTATAGGAAGATTTTAAGATCGTAAGTGTCTTGATAGATGTCTCTTGGCTTCTTTGCAGAGAGAGGAGATAAACAAATCTGTGAACTGAATCTGTCACTTTGAACTAGCAGCCCTTGGTCCTTTGGGTTTTAAATGGCTCTTTAATGTGCTCAGAGTTTAGAGGCAGCCATGACACATGACAGTGTACCTTAGTCTGGTAAAATGCCCCATAGTGTATAGTGCACTTTCTCATTTGATCCTCACAACTCTGGGATCACTGGAGGCTGGAGGCAATGGAACTGGAAAAGTCACCTGGAAGGCTTCACTGCGTAGGGAGCACTTGATCAGAATGACAAGAAGACACCTCTGCTACTGGTCAGAAAACTAATGGAGAGATATTCCAGGCTGGGATAAGTCTCAGATTAGGGTTTGGAAGTAGAAACAGGTAAGTAGGGTTATAGGAACAGCAATGTCTACTCAGTTGTTGCTGAGTCTGAGTTGGTAGTGGGGGCAGATGAGAGATGAGCTAAGTGGGAAGCCAATGGTGGAATTTAAAGAGTCTATAAGGTGATGTAAGTGATCAGTTCTGTAAGAAATTTGAGCAAAAGTCCTGTAATGAGGGTAAGTTTGAAGCCAGAAAATAACACCGTCAGCAGTGTCACCAGCACACACAAAGGACAATGATAGATTGCAGAGGCCCCCTCTCACATTTCCGGGCTAATGGAAGCAACAGTCACGTGGATGAATGAAAGCCACAGCTTGTCCATTAGTTTCAACTTCCTTCCCCAAAGGCTTTCCACCGGAACTTGCAAAATGTGCATTTCTCCTCTTTGTCCTTCCCTTCCCAGCCTGCTAGAAGAGACTGAGAGGGCTGAGGCGGCAACTCCGCAGAGACCCCTAAGCCGGCTGGTTGGAGACCAGGCTGCTGTGCACACTGCCTCTCCTGATCTAAGTTTTAGATGGGGTGCAGGCGGGGTGCAGGCATTGGGCCCACCATTTCGGCATCCCTAGAGTGGTGATACCTGTGCCATCCTCCCACCTCCTCTCCAACACAGGTGACTCACCTGACAACAGTCAACGAGGCTCCTGGGGAGCACGCTGGACCTCTGGTCCACAGCTGTGCTGAGAAACTCTTTCTCATGGGCCCCCAGGGCAGGCCTTGTGGGCAAACAAGGGTTTAGCCCTGCTGAGCAGAGGAATTCTATCTGTTCCATAACGTTTGCACAGTTGCTTGCTTTTTCCCCAGTTTTATTGAGACATAATTGACATACAGCACTGTATAAGTTTAGGGTAGACCACAGTTGCTTTTCTTTATCTCTTCTAGCTCCTGCTTTGAGGAAATTTTCTGGAACAGGTGCTCTGTTTTTTTTTCTCCTTGCTAATTCCTGGCAACAGCCAACACCATTCAAAGCCTGTGTATCGGAATTTGCTAAGCATGTTCATAACAACCTCACTTGTGGGTGAGTTTGCAGCTTTACCTGTGCTCAACCTCCATCTCTGTCTCTATCTCTCTCTCCACCAAACATTTGTTCGACTGTTCCAGACTCTTAGTAACCCTCTGGTTTTAGGAGAGCAGCCTCAGTCACACTCATCCTGTGCCCAGTAACAGGGCATGATGTCTCGTCCCCAGCAAAAAGCACAAAGAGGTCCCAAAGCTTCTTGGTTCCCTAAATAAAAATACCCTGTATCTGCTTTCTTCTGACCAGAAGAAGCCAATTCTACCCAGAGGCCCCTCTTCTATCAGAGAAAGCCCCAAAGCAGGTACACAGTCATTCATTTATGAAAATGAAAGATTCATGAGGGACTCCACTGGGCTGCCAGCAGAGTTTAGGCAGGTTCTGATCTTACTTTAATTTAATTAAGCTGTGCTTATTTAATCAGCCCAGAGATATGCGTCCTCAGGCAGGAATGTGCTGCCCGCCTCTGAGCTGTGTTACTGTCTGTGGGAGGAGAAGCGCTGTGACCTTCCTAGCATTTTTGAAAGGTTTGGGGCCCAAGAGGCAGGCTGGTTGGTGTCCTGGGTTCAGATCAGGCACCATGGGGATGCTGCATTCAGCAGCTGTGTGTGTGTGTGTGTGTGTGTGTGTGTGTGTGTGAGAGAGAGAGAGAGAGAGAGAGAGAGAGAGAATGTGTGTGTGTACACACACATATGCATAAGCACTCAGAGCCCATACTGCTCAGTGCTCTAGGGGCTCAGGAGCTCAGGAGCTGGTCTGTGGCAGGAGTGGCAGGGAAGGCAGACCTGTGAGCAGTCTGTGTTTTCAGCCACTCCAGGAGGAAAGCACTAGACAAACAAGGCCACGCTCTGGCTTAAGGGCAGTGTTGCTCAGAGCGCGCTCCACAAATCTCTTCTGGGTGCAGGGGAGACATGCTGACTCCCAGGCTCCACACTGAGACTTGCTGCTCACGTGAAAGTTTAGAAACCCTGTGTTCTCGGGTGTCCTTAACCTCAGCAGTATGTACATTTTAAGGATGGAGGTGGGGTGGTTGAAACTCATTCAGAAGGACCCATTATGGTGGGTTTCAGGCACAGTCGGAAGACATTTGGAAACAGAAGCATTTTCTAGAGCCTCCTAAATCGCTCCACTTAGGGGACAGCATCTCTCTTCTATGTGTAAGGGCAGAAGTGAGAACAGTTGTCTGAACCATGATGGTTGGAGTGGATGTCTGGGTGGATGGTGTAAATCCCATCTGAGTCCAAAGGCATGAGAAACAGGAGCGCCAATGTCTGAGGACAGGAGAAGGTAGATGTTGGCATTAGCAGACAGCAAATCCACCCCCCGCCCCTGCCTTTTTGTTCCATTCTGGTCTTCAATGGGTAATAAATCTCTCTCTCTTTCTCTCTAAATATATATCTGTAACATTATATCCTACTGGTTCTTTTTCTCTGGAGAACCCCAACTAATAGAGTTCCCCAGCCCGAACTCCTCTGGGTTCTGAGATGGACAGTGGCAGTGGAAGGCGTCACCCAGGATTCATCTGTTGATCAGGGAGGTTTCTTCTTCTTCTTGCCTCATTTTGCTGGATAATTGGCATTGATAGAGAGGAGTAGCAGAGGGAGAGTGTGCTGGAACCTGTTTTTATTTTTCACAAAAACCGCACTGTCCCACACATGTTCAACACTTTCACTTATATTAGCTCTATAATTCCTCCCCCAAACATTGTGAAACAGGTGTAACGAGCCCCACTTTATAGATGAGGACACTGAAGGTCAGATCGCCTTGGGGATCAGCCTGCAACAGAACCTGAACACAGTCTAACTCAGTACATTTTCCTCTAGACCTATGCCAGCCAGTATGCTGGTCACTAGCCACATGTGGCTATTAAGGACTTGAGGTGTGGTTAGTCTGAACTGAGGTGTGCTGTAAAAGACAACAATTTAGCATAAAAACATGTAAAATATTTTGTTAATTTTTGTACTGGTCTTTAGTAATTTTTATACATGTTGAAATGATATTATGAGCATGTTAACTTAAGTATATTATTGAATTATTCTCACCAGTTTCTTTTTACTTTTTAAATGTGATGTGGATACTATAACATTTGAAGTTACACATGTGGCTTGTGTTTGTGGTCTGCATGTTTTCATTGGACAGCATTACTCTAGGCTGATGTGTTTTCAGACTCACAGCCTCAAATCACCCCAAGATCCCTAGGAGGTGAGAGAAAAATCCAACCAATTGCATAGTAGCTACCCCCCTGTTTTCCATGTTTTGATATTTCATCATGAAAAGGAAGAGCATGATGGTGGTAACCCAGGGAGGGACCAGATGGTCTCTGATATCCCACATGACTTTCTTTGAACTGTGATCTTGTGTCAAAATGTCTTTCCAAACTTACTTGGGTCTGCAAAGAACTGAGGAAACGTTCAGATCCCTGAGCCAGAAAGCTTCCTCTTCCACATTAAGGTCAGATGAGTGTGTGGAAGAGATGGGGGCACCCCCAGTACTGAAAAGTCTTTTATAACAGGGATAGACAAGCTAAAAGGGAGGGCCAGAAAGGAAGGGGGAAAGCAAAAACCTGGGCAGAAAGAATCTCAGTCAGCCAATGAAAGCAAGTGATTCATTTCTACTTTCACTTATTCATTCATGTAGCAAATATTGCTTATTGTCTAATGTGTCCTTATTATCCACCAGGAACTGTTCCATGTTCTAGGGATAAAGTGATGATCAAGGATAAAGGTTTCTGTCCTCTTAGACTTTATTTTCTAGGGGCAATAGAGAACAATATACAGTACATGAATAAATTTGATGATTTCAGATTCTGTTAGCTAGAGTATAGGTTGGTTGCTATAACAAAAAGAACCAATTAACAGTGGTTTAAGCAAGAGAGAATTTCATTTCTTTCTCATGTAACAATCTGGTGGTGAGCAGTCTAGGGCAGTTAGCAGCTCTGTGGTGTCAGGGGCCCAGGTTCCTTCTGTCTTGCTCATTTGCCATCACTAGATGTGGTCATCCACAAGGTTGCAGATGGCTCACCACCTCCTCTAGGTTAATTTCAAGTAAGTGGGAAGGGGAAGAGAAAGTGAGGACACTCCCTTTCCTTCTAAGGATATGACCTGGAGGTAGCACACATCACTTAATTCACATCCCATTTGTCAATACTTAGTCATATGACCACACCCAGAAACAAGAGTCTGGGAAGTGTAGTCTTTATACTGAACAACTTGTACCCAGCTAAAAAATTTTTTTTTACTGAAGGAACAAGAGAGCAGATATTGAGGGACAACTAACAGTCTCAGCACAATCATCAGTAGCACAACTACTCTACTCACAATGTTCATAATAGAATTGCATTACTAGAAAGACCAGGCTCTGACAATTCTTATATAAATCAAACAGAATGTACTTACCTAGTGATAGAGAAGGAAGTCAGCACTGTCAGGACTCATAGCAGAGAGATTGGCATCATTTTCCAGGACATACAGCAGTGAATGTTTCCAGAACAAAAAATCCTCTAAGAGAATACCCAGTTGCAGATATAATATCTGGGAAAGTAGGGGTCACATTACATTTTCAGG